AGAAACTAGTGAAATGCTACATTTGGAGCATTGCTTTGCATGGGGCTGAAACTTGGACACTTAGGGCAGTAGATCAGAAACACCTGGAAAGCTTCGAAATGTGGGGTTGCACAAGGATGGAGAAGATCAGTTGGACCGATTATGTGAGAAATGAAAACGTGTTATTTAGAGTCAGTGAGCAGAAGAATAACCTACACGAAATAAGAAAACAGAAGGCTAATTGGATTGGTCATATCTTACGCAGTAACTGCCTTCTAAAAGAAGTTATTGAAGGAAAGATAGAGGGGCAGAGAGAAGTGACCAGAAGACGAGGAAGAAGACGTAAGAAGATGCTGGATGACCTTGGGGACAGAAGAGGATATTTTCATTTGAAGGAGAAAGCTCTAGATCGCATCAAGTGGAGGAACTGTTTTGGAAGAGACTGTGGACCTGTCGTCTTGACAGATTACAGATGAATGAATGAATTTCCTAAGAGCAAGAGTGATGCAGGTCAATTGCCTTGGCACAGAACAAAAACCCTGTATGAAAGCTAACACCAATAGCTCAATATGGGGGCCATTTACTATAGCTTCCATTCACCTCTGCACCTACAGAACTGCGCAAAAGTTAGATTCAAGACAAAACAATGATGATGAAAGACATTCTCTTGATGATAATAGCATTACAGGTATATTTTCAAGTAAGGACAGCAACACTGCTGAATCTGCATAGGCTACAACAGTAACACACCTCACTTTCTCATTATGAATCAAGTTACTAGTAAGAGTATAACGAATGACCTTGATCCTTTTCTACACAAAAGATATTAATATAATCTGCAGACCACGATGCAGAAGAACACTATGATGGACATCCTTTATTCAGACATGAAAAGAAGAGCAGAAAAACAAGCTCTGATTAGCAGATGCTGCAGCTTTTTATGAGGGCTACGCTACTGCTGGCTAAAACAACTAAATAAATGTCATTATATTCAAATCAAAGTACTAAAAATCCACGGTGCAGAGTTTTTCTTGAGAAGTTCTCAGCTATTCAAGGAATTCCTTGACTTTTATGGAGCCTCAAGTTTCAAAACAGAAAACCCTACCCTGAACCAGATAAAACCACATCCTCAAATACAATTTATTTAAATCCAATTTAATGTTTTTCTCTGACTTACACATATATCTTCCAAGTCATCTCTTCCCTTGCAGTACTCTGATAAAAAGTTATTATGCACTTTTAATAGACTCCATGACTGCTACATGCTTCACCCATTCATTCTGCTTGATTTTATCACCTAATATCCGAGTAATACAAATACAACCTTCAGCATTAAAACTGTCTACTTAATAATGAACATTTCTGGAACCTTGAAAGTTTTATAGCATTTGTCTCATCTCTTGAACCATGAAACACAAATTATACCCAACTCTTATTATTTAACTGTTTTAAATATATAGCTCCTTTTGATTTAATTTTCCTTGGTCACTTCTGACTGTAATAATGGGAAGGATATACAAACTAATCAGAAACTAATGAAACTATTCCATATCACACGATGGATTTCCACTCAGAAACTCTGCTGATAATTCAATATCATATTGCACATGAAGTTGTTCAGCAGTACATTGTAATATAACAAGATCAAGGGAATATAAAATGAGATAAGTAATACTTAGAAAAGTCCCTGCATAACAATTTATTTTACATTAAGTTTCTACTTTAAGTTCTTTACAGTATTATTTTCCTCATAAGAAAGTGTCCTTGTTTTGTTATGTTTTTATCCTACACCTCCTTAAATACAGCTGTCGAAGGTATCACTGTATTTCCCCCTCCCAAACATTAAGAAGAAATTCCTCCTTGTTTTAATACCAACAAGTATTTTGTTTAGTACAGGTGCAGTTGCTGATGCATGACTATGTCTGGTGAGGTCCAGCCATTCATACAGTAATAAGAACACAATGTTACTTACCTGTAGAAGTTCTAATGCAAACTGTGAAGTGCCTGTGGTAATAGAGAGCACTGAGTCAGATAACGAATCTGATGAAGACTGATGGGTACATATACTAAGCCACAATATGGGAAACAACATACCTGAAACGAAATAGAATTCCATAATATATTTTAACTCTTTCCATATGAGAGATTTCAGGAGGAAAAGTTGAAGTTTTAAGATAAAAACATTTGCATTCTATTTTAAATAAAAAAGAATTGCTACAGCACTGGTACGGAATCTACTGTGTGTATTTATAAAAAATTTAATAAAACTAACTGCAGACATTTTATCCCTTTCCATGCTATGTCCAGCTCGTGTTTTATGTGTCCATAGTTATTTAGGTATAATTGTAAAATATGATATGATTCAGAGATACCCTGTGAACATCAGAGATACAACTTGCATCAACATTATGACATATTAAATATCAAAGATTTCTAATGAAGGAGATCGGCATTTACAAGAGAGATATGTCCTGTTCATTGCATGGAATGAATCAAAGGAATCTAAACCTTGTGTCGTCATCATATAAAATTTTATCCAGCATTCATCTGGCAAGATTAAATATAGATCAAATTACTGGGAATCATCAGTGCAGATCCTGATGTAATAAATGAATGGCTGATCAGATTTTCTGCACTCATCAGATATCAGAGAAACATTTGGTAAAATTGGAAATACACTTTAGGTATTTACAGACTTTAAGAGACAGTGAGTGACTCAGTGATGACAGAAGTATGTGACCTTCTAGTTCCATTTAGTAAATTTAGTTTCGTTAATTAGAATGTCTTCACAAGAAACCTACAGCAAAGTTTGTTTGGGTAAATATTTAAGTGATGCATTTCCTATTCAGAACAGCTGAAATGAGAGGAAGCTCTATTCCATTGCTTTTCAAGTTTGCTTCTGTATATGCCGCTAAGATGGACAGGGTAAGAAAATACAGACTTGAATGACCTGGTTTAGGACTGGATCCAATTATGTGCTTTTGCAAATAATGTGATGAACCTTCAGATTCTTGAAAGAAATCAGAAAATTTCTTGACCAGTTGAATAACCACCAGCTTCTCAAAGCAGACTTATACAATACACCAATAAGTAACAGTTCTTTAACTGGTTATTGCTAATGAATGTGGATCAGTTGGTGAATGAAAATTTTCTGGACAAATTGAAGTACTCAGGGAAAACCCACCCCATTGCTACTTTGTCTGCCACAAACCCAACATGACCCAAGCAGGAATTAAACCTGGACTTCTAGAGTAGGCAGCATAGGCAGTAATCATCTGATCTCTACTCTGATGGTATATTTCTAGTATGAACACTATATCCATCTTGCAAATAACAAAATACTGTGACGTGTTGCGCTAGGGTAATAGGCAGGTCAACCCCCCCCCCCCCTTCATCCATTAATTTGCTATGTTGCTTAGCAATATTCCCACACAGGAGAGAAAATGTGTTGTTTTGATTTCTGTGGAAGTTTCCCTCATGCAATCAACAATTCCAACACATTCCATTCCCCATACAAGCCCGATAGCCAGGAGTTTACTGTAACAAAACTGCATCCATTTCTAGCACATTGCCTTCTAATGGAAGAATCATTTAAAGAGTACATTCTGTTGATATGCTTTATAGATGCCTCACAAATTCGATGGGGTACCCAAAAGGAACCGAACTAATTTTTTTGTGGTCAGAGCTTTTGTAGTACAGCGTTTTGCCGCTATGAGCGCATAGAGCTAACATTCCTGAGTCGATAAGCCGACTACCGTTGCTTCAGAAGGTAAGGACTAGTTTTGGCAGAGTTTATAGTGACAACTGTTTTGTGTGATTGTCGTTTTTGCAATGGCTGATTTTCGTGAACAGCGTGCGGCGGTGAAATTCTGCTTTTTGCTCGGGAAAAGTGGAACAGAAACTCTTGAAATGTTAAAAACGGCGTACAAGGACGATGCTATGGGGAAAACTCAAGTGTTTGAGTGGTTTTCCCATTTCAAAAATGGTGAAATGTCAATTGATGACAAACCTCGTTCTCGTCGTCCTTCTACGGCCTGTACACATGAAAATGTTGAAAAAATTCGTGAAATCATCAAGGAAGATCGACGACGGACCATTGAAGAAATTGTGGAGCTGTCGGGAGTGACTTGGAGCTCAGTTCAGCGAATTTTGACAGAAGATTTGGGAATGAAAAGGG